GTAAAAAATACGGTAGCAATGTTTTAGGTTTTACGGTTTTAACTTAAATTTACAGTTAAATACCGTAATTTCATTAACTGATATAATGTTAATATACCAACCTTATTGACGTACTGAAATCTGTTTTGTACCTTTGTAATACACTAACCACCAAATGCATGTGGTGATGAGAAAGTCACATGATGAGCCAAAGCCCATCACAAGCAGCTTTTAGATAATAACATATATAGAAGGTGCACAGTGTCATTCACACAAACGCTAAACACTGAAATAATGCAATAAACATTCATTTAACAACATTAGGTGTAACACACAACCCTAATATACAAAAACCATATATAAAAACTAAGAAGAAACATAGTTATTTCAACAAAAAAACATCAAATTTGAAATGTAACGCAGGGAATTCTGGGAATGTCAATTTACGGTTATTCACTGTAAATTATACAGTCTTTTTCACTTCCAAAAACGGTATACTACCGTAAAATTAATGTCCAATACATGTAATGTCCAATACAGTTTTTCACCGTATATAGTAGGGGAATTTACCGTTAACCATTTAACAGGTTTTTACTGTAGCATTTTTACAGCCTTTTACCGTTAAATTCACGGTCATTTTTTACAGTGACCTGGTATACACATCAACAGTCTGGCCATTTAATCAGCTGTCCTGAAACTCTTTAAGACAACTTCCCCTTGCACATATGTCTGTCCCAATCCAATGGTGTGACAGTAACATTGAACAGGAGAACCGAGACAGGGAAAAACCGGACTGAAGACAAGCGTGCAGACATGATGGAAGCAGTGGGGAAGGACGACATCTCCGTGGTCATGCATACTGATGGACACACACACACATAATGATATCTCACAGCTCTGATGCAATCACACCCAAGGAGAATCCCTGATCAACATCTTACGCCGTAAGTACCCACTTGAAGCACTTCTCAGAGTTTTGACATTCATAGGGTGAGTGTCTCTGTATTAGAATGCACTGTTTTTCTCCAAGAGCAAAAGATGTGCAATTAATCACGGATTTCAGTGCTTCTTTCAAGACTGAATGGTTTATCTAATGGTTTCAGGATGATATAATGGTTTGTCCTCAAATGAATAGTTACCTATAAATGAAAATTATGTCATCATTTATTCACCGTCATGTCATTCCAAATCTGCATGACCTACACTACTGATCAAAAGTTATTTAATACATTTATTTAAAGAAAAATGGAGTATAAACAGTAATTCTGTGAAATATAATTAAAAATAGTTTTCTACTGTAATATATTTTAAAATCTAATTTATTCCTTTGATGCAAAGCTGAATTTTCAGCATCATTACGCCAGTCTTCAGTGTCACATGACATGAAAGTTTTTGCTGCTTAATATGTTTGTGGAAACTGTGATTTTTAGGATTCTTTGATGAATAGAAAGTTCAAAAAGCATTTAATTAAATATTTTTTGTAATAACAAAAATGTCTTTACTGTCACTTTTGAGCAATTGAATGCATCCTTGCTGAATAAAAGTATTAATTTCTAATTAAGTATTAATCTCCAAGTATTAATTTTATAATCTTTCTTACCCCAAACTTTGTTTCCACAAACATTTTAAGCAGATTTTCATTTTTATCATTTTACAATCATTTTTAGAATGATTTCTGAAGGACCATGTGACACTGAAGACTGGAGTAAAAAGGTTTTAAAAAGCCTCAGTGTTTATTTGTCCATACATTGAAAGTCAATGGGGTTCAATGATTGTAAAGACAAAAACTGTTCATCTTTTGTGTATAAAGAAAGTCATACAGGTTTGGAGCGAGTAAATATGTCTGAATTACGACTGCCACTGTATATCACGTAACATAACCAATCACAGCCTCTTGTACTCCTTTCGTTCCAGGAAATAAGTTTGGCATGCTGAGGTCAGGAATCCATGTGTCATAAAAAAGCAAGCACGCATCTAATATCTGATTGTGATTCCAATAGCTATGTATTCTGATCCGTTCACACGATCACGGCCTGTTGTCCGTCAGCATGTCTGAGGCCTGCAAGGTGACCCGGCCTCAAGCTGAGCACAATCAGCACTACTCCAGATCCGGACTGAGTTTCATCTGACCTTCAAAATCACAAGCCAAAAATACCACCTCAAAATGCATTAATTTGCATTTTTAATCTTGCAATTAAACGTGATGTAATTAGGGCTGGGTGATATCGTACAAATACAGTACAATGAAAAATCTAGTTAAAACAGGAAGCAACATCACAATCCAGTACAGTCACTAGTAAAATACTGTGCACTGCACACAACGAGATGGATTTCAATACAACAGACTGGATGGCTTAAGTACTGGACACGCAAGGGTCAGAGATCAAGTTGAGTTGGTCTTGAGTAGGTGGCGTGTACATGGAGAGTGGGTGGGATTGGATTTTGCATGTGAACTCTACAGGGTTTCAGGGTTAAATAATTCATTTGGCACTGGTCAGCTGTGGAAGAGACAGGTGTGTGTGCATGTGTGTGTGTATATGTGTGTTTAAGCTCCATGCTCTACCTGCACTGTTGAAACCACATCCAAGGAAAAAGCCTCTCACTTCGGGTGCTTCACCCATCAGGGGCTTGTGATCTGCAGTGAAGGATTCTGGAGGGAAACAAAAAAAAAGGATAAAAAACACTTCAATTTCCATTCACTGTAGGTCTAACCTTTTGGTCTAATCTTTTGAACTAAAAGAGATCAGTGTAGTATGTTGGCATATTTTACCCTTCTCAAACCTCTCCAGCCTCCCAGACCATTAATGGAAACTAAGCTTCAGTGAGATGGGTTTAATTCCCAGGGAATGTGTGAACTGATAAAATGCAATGAGGGTCGCTTTGGGATAAAAACATCTGCCAAATGTTTACAGATAGACAGACATCTGGACAGAAAATGCAGACGGAGCCCCTTTTATTCAGCAAGGACACATTAAATTGATCAAAAGTCACCAAAAGTGATTCATAATGTTATTTAAGATTTCTATTTCAAATAAATGCTGTTATTTTGAACTTTCTATTCATCAAAGAATCACATTTACCATTAAAATATTAAGCAGCACAACTGTTTTCAACATTGATATTAATCAGAAATGTTTCTTGAGCAGCAAATCAACATATTATACTGATTTCTGAAGGATCATGTGACTCTGAAGACTGGAGTAATGCTGCTGAAAATTCAGCTTTGCATCACAGGAATAAATTACATTTTAAAATATATACAAATAGAAAACAACTGTTTTAAATGGTAATAATATTTCAGAATATTACTGTTTTTACTGTATCTTTGATCAAATAAATGCAGCCTTGCTGAGCAGAAGAGACTTCTTTCAGAAACATTTAACAAACCAAAAAGCCTTACAGACCCCAAACTTTTGACTGGTAGTGTACAGTGTTTTTTGTGTTACTGTGGCGAAACTCAAGAAGGTTGCATAATTACCTTTAAATATCTGTGCCATAAAATGTCATGTTTTATTGTATGTACCCTTTCTTTTTCATGTTTCTCCTTCATGTGTTATTCTATCATAAAATACATAATTTACATAAAATCTTAAGAGATACAACAGCAAGTGTTTATTTTTTGCTTTTATCATGGTTTTTGTCTTTTACTAAAAAAAAAAAATTCAATATTTCTTCTTGTTATAATCAATTCAATTCAGTACATTTTTCCTGTGACCGTGCATATAATTTGTCAACAAAAATATTTCAGCATCAAAAATAAAAATACGTGCCAAACTTTAAAACATATCAAGATTGTTCAACCCAAAATTTAACATGATATATCATGATCAAATTTAACATGATTAAACAGTCCTTTTGAAAACCTGACTTGTTGAAATAGTTACGGTTTTGTGAATCCTTAAATGTTGTTCGATTTGACATTTAGCCTCCGTAGGATATTACATTAAGCAACAAACATTGTTAAAGCAACAACGTATTTACATGTACAGTACAATGTCAGTTAGATGTATTCTGGACTAGCATATATAGTGAAATTACGACTGTTTATGGTGCAAGAAAACTTGACACTATAAGAGCACTTCAGCAAAAAATAATTGCTATGAGAGTTTATGATAAGGCTTTTTTAAAGCACAGAAAGTAAGAAAATAAGGGTGAGAGGTGGGAAAATGAGGCACATGGTGCTGCCAGTGGGTCAGATCAGATCTTTCTGAAAGGCTCTTTCTGCTGAGCGCTCACGTAATGGTCTATAACAGTCAAAGCTTTCAGTAGTAAGATGTGGGATGACCCTCAAAAGCATCAAAGACAGAGAGAAATGCAAAGGCGAACGAGTGCGAGGAGAAACAAAGGCCACGAGTGCAAGAGAGATTGAGAGGTGAGACAGAAAAAGAGAGATGAAGAGCTGAGACACGCCTTTTCCATTACTCCACATGAGAAAGTGTTTTTTCCGCAACATCATCTGCTCTTTGAGAGCACAAAGGATAGGGTGAGGCTGCAGCTATATTTTATTTATCCATCTTCCTCTCCTCCATCGCTCTTATTCATACGTCACCACACACACACACACACACACACACACAGCTATCGCCAGAAATGACCGAAGTGCTCTGACTGCCGTCCTCAGAGGTCACCTTATAGTGTCAAACACGGCAAACCGAAGAAGTTAGAGCACGAGAAATTGACTAAACATGATTCAATTGAGAATGTGTGGTGCGATCAAACCCTCCAAACTCAAATTACAACACATTTGAATTGATTCAAATGAATATTGGAAGTCCAAAAGTGAGATCGCTAGTGAAAATGCTGCTAATTTGACATTTTTTAAAATGTATTACAAATTGCTTAATTGCAAATGATATTATTATGTTATTATACTGAACATGATTTGAGAATGATAAAAAGAGAAACTTGTGCTTCAATGAATGAAAGATCTGTCAAAATTATTATTATTTTGCAATAATAGTGTAAAATCTGGTTTCTTACTTAAAAAAAAAAAAGGTTCCAATAAATTTTTTCTTCATTACAAATTACATTATTAGCATGAGTAAAAATTTGTTTCCTAAAAATGTATCACGGTTTTCATGAAAACATTAAGCAGCAAAAACTGCTTTCAATATCGATAATAATCAGAAATGTTTATTAAGCAGCAAATCAGCATATTAGAATGATTTCTGAAGGATCATGTGACACTGAAGACTGGAGTAATGATGCTGAAAATTCAGCTTTGATCACAGGAATAAATTACATTTTACAATATATTTAAATATAACATTAAATTGAAATTGTAATAATATTTCACAATATTACTGTTTTTACTGTATTTTTAATTAAAATTAAATAAAAATAAATGTGTGTGTGTGTGTATATAATATGACATTTTTTAAATTACATATTTAAATAATTTAAAGACAACAGAAATAAAGAGCACTTGCATATTTCATGATACAGTAACTTTTTAACACTTACAATGAGAATTCACAATAAACAAAATAAATAATAACCAGACAGGATCTCAAAGGATATCAGTAATCATATTATACTGCAATTTTGTTGATAATATTTAATGTGAAACCACATAATGGTTTAATTAATTGCATCATCAGTGTTTAGTGGATCAAGACCTCTGGCCAGTGTTCACGATACACCGACTCACGACACAGTAGTGAGAGACAGCGTGAGTGTGAGCAGCAAACACACTTCTACATTTATTCTGAAATCTTGTGAAACACCACTGCACACAGGTGGTCTTCAATCAAGTAATGGGGATTTTCAAGTGTAGTTCTTGACTAAAGTGGACGCAGTTAATGGCCAGTGGGACACCGCGGTCACACCAAAAGGAATAATTATCAAGTGTTAATTGGGATTCACAAGCTTTTGCTTACTTCTAATGTACATCTATGGAGGATCTGTGTCTTTGACAAAACACAAAACAAGATGGCGCCAGTGTGTGTGGCCGGCCGTCTGTTGCTCCCGGTTGTATGGATGTTTGTCTTGTTTTAATCGACTGTTTTAAATACTGCAGACTCTCTACTGGTGTATGATCGCCAAACACTTCTTGGCATTTGATCAGCTATGGAAAATACGGCGATCTATAATGTTAATTGGGGTGGAAAAAACAATTCGCCCCCTCCTCCGCTCCTGTGTGGATTACCTGCCTATCTCTGCCGGACCCTATGCTCTCTCGGGAAGAAGAAGCGATCCAGACGTTGTGGTAAACGAAGTGGTCTGTTGGTGAAAGTGAAAACTTTAATGGCTTTGTTCCCAACTGCCGATCCTCGCTGGATTTTAGCAGGTCTTGACGTGGATTGTCGCCGGTACGTGCTTCGACGATTCTAGGATCCCGCGAATAAGTGGCTGGTACCTGTAATCGGCGTGGATAAGGAGCCTCCGGTCCACATTCATGGTGAGGTGGTGTGGATGCTTCTCTCCTTCGACCTTTTGACCGCGAATCTTCGTCGTTCAAAGACTCATCTCCAGTGAGGATAGCCTTGGTGAATGCTAGATCACTAGCTAACAAGTCCTATATTTTAAATGACTTTTTTACCTCCAAGGATCTGGGCATGTTGTGTGTGACAGACCTGGATCGGTGTTGGTGAGTCGAGTGCTTTTTCAGAAGTTTTACCACTGAACTGTACCTATTTTAACTCTCCACGTCTTACGGGACGAGGAGGCGGAGTAGCAACTATTTTTAAAGAACATTTAAACTGTCGGCGTCTGCCATCTTACTCCTATTCCAGCTTTGAACTCAATATTTTTGAACTAAGTCTGGGTTATCCGGTGCTGTGAGCCGTTGTTTATCGCCCACCCAAATACAACAAGGACTTTATCGATGATTTTTCTGATTTTTTGGCTGGAATCATGCCAAAATATGATCCTTAATTGCTGGGGATTTTAATATCCATGTGTGCTGTCCCACCAAGCCTTTGGCTAAAGCTTTTTTAAATCTTGTGGAGTCTTTTAACTTAACTCAGTTTGTGGCTAGTCCCACACATAAATGTGGACACATACTAGATTTGGTTTTATCATACGGCGGCTTGCCTATTGGTAATATTGAAGTCTGTGATGCCATTTTCTCTGATCATCTGCCCGTTTTATTTGAGATATGTACTTCTTGTGATTCTAAAGTGACTGATCCAACCCGTCACTGTCGGACGATTAATCCTTCAACTGCTCAATTGTTTTCTGAGGCTTTTAATGGCATTGATGATGATTATTCAATGTCCTCATATGGCCTTAACACTGATGACTTAACCTCATTGTTTTTTTCAACCTGTCAAAGTATTTTGGATACAGTGGCCCCTTTTAGGACGGTTCGAGAAAAACCTAGAGTTCAACCGTGGCTGAATGCTACTACTCGAGCTGTAAGGTTTGAGTGTAGAAGGGCGGAACGCCGCTGGAAGAAGGATAAATTGCAGATTTCTTTCGATATTTTAAAGGAGAACTTGTCTAAATATCAAAAAACTGTTAGATCTGAGAAATCAAAGTATCTCTCAAATGTTATCTGTAATAACTCTCATAATACAAGGACTTTATCGATGATTTTTCTGATTTTTTGGCTGGAATCATGCCAAAATATGATCGGGTCTTAATTGCTGGGGATTTTAATATTTATGTGTGCTGTCCCACCAAGCCTTTGGCTAAAGCTTTTTTAAA